GCCTATAGGATTAGCTATTATACAATTAAGAAGATATAATAAATAAAAATTTAGATAACAGTTTACTCATAAATATACGGCGTATACTTACAAACTAAAGAAATCAATTCCGGATTCATTTCCCATCCTCAGAATTCTTTCTAAAGGATTATTATATCGATAATCCGTACGGTGGGTTTTAAATTTTAATATAGAAAGTAGAGTAGTTACGAGAGTATAATATTGAGGAACATTTATAGAAATACGTTCTAGGAGAGAGGAACGTGTAATTTTATCATTAATTAATTTTGAGAGGGACGAAATATCGGCATTTTTACGATATTATGATAAATTGGCTGTTATGCCAAGTTAAGATTTGAATGACTGCTATATTATAATAGTATAAATAGAGTCAACAAATGTAATAAGTTCATTATTRTTTATCAATATTAAAATTTGTCCATTATTATGGCCTACTATATCAAATTACGCGTCGATAGAAAAATATTTCTCGAAGGGCCGAGACTACCCAATCCGGACTTGTATTTACAATGTTACACTATTCATATAAGTAGTATTACAATAAAGTTATAACATATAACATAATAAGATTACGTTAATAAATCGATACATCACTTAAAGTTAATTATAAAATACATCAATCAGATTTTACTTTAGACTCTTTAGAGAATGATGAACATATATTTGTGAAAATTGTGCGAATACATTTAAATAATTTTAGAACAATTTATTAGTATAGAAATGAAAATCAACATAAGAAGTGCAGTAGGTAATTATATCTGATAAAAAGTATTGATACCACGTTAAATTAAGAGCTTTAGATTTTAGGTGTGGTGCTCCTTTGTGACGAATAATATATTCTGTCCAGTAAACGACAGACTTTTCTGATGACATTGGTCGGTCTTTAAATATTTCTGAAGCAATTTTGGCATTGTTAATATACCTGAAATAGATAATATATAATACTATAGAAATACCAATAAATTCAAGCCATTAACAAATATTTACTTTTTGTTGTTAACAAGATCCAATAAATTTTTCAAAAAAGTGTTCTTAGTTACTGCATATATTTCCACGGATATTCCCATGCCCACCTCAACTAAATAATCTATGTTTCTATACTGATCACCGAATAATGGAAATCCTAAGACTGGAACTYCAGCGTCTACTGCTTCATATAATCCAGATATTCCACCGTGACTGACGAAGACCTTAACATTTTTGTGCACTTGAAATCATTAAACATTTTTTAATAATTTATYAATTTAATTATGGATACTCGTTTAATTGGGAAATCTTACAAAGAACATCTCGTTGAGGAAACCATTTTCGTGTCATGACATTTTTTGGTTTATCTTCCATTTCGCCTTCGTATTTTAACAAAACTCTTTGTGGAAGTTCAGCTAATGCATCTTTAAAAGTGGTTAAAATATACTGTAGTATTGAAGACATTGCAGTAGTTGAACCAAATGTGAACAAAACGACTCCGTGTGGCGAGTCTTCAATAAAATCCAATAGGTATATCCTAAAAACAATAGTTTTCTTTGTAAAATCAATTCAATAATTATGTTCTAAAAATAGTTAAATAACTTTTATGCTAAGAGCGTATGAAAATAAACATTAAATTTGTTACATTTAAGTATTAAATATTAAATTAAATTGTAAAACTCATATATTATTACCGATTGTTTAATTTTTCTTGCCAAAATGTTAAAGTKTATGTTTCAAATATCTCTATTAAATTATAATAGGCGCGTAAAAAAAAAAAAATAATTGATTTAAAAATAATTTTAAAGTTTCATATCTTATGCATTTATCCAATTGCTAAGAATAAACTTAACGATTGTATTGTTA